TGGCGGGTCCGGGTCTGGTACGGGGGCGACACTGAGGGTTGCGATCCATTGCCGGACACGGAAAAAGACAAAAAGGGGAAAAAAAAAAAAAAAACTATGGTAACCAACACATCACAGTACCAGCATAAAAACAGAAACATGGACCAATGGAACAGAACGGAAAACCCAGATATCAACCTATGTACTTACAACCAACTATCGTCAACAAAGGCACCAAGAACATACATCAGAGAAAGGATAGCTTCTTCTGAAAATGATGCTGGGAAAACTAGATATCCATGTGTAGAAGAATAAAATTAGACCTGTACTTCTCACCATATACCAAAATCAACTCAAAACGGATTGAAGTCTTAAATGTAATACCTGAAACTATAAAATTCCTAGAAGAAAACATAGGGGAAACACTTCACGATGTAGGACTGGGCAAAGACTTTATGAATAAGTCCTCAAAAGCACAGGCAGCAAAAGGAAAAATAAACAAATGGGATTATATCAAACTAAAAAGCTTCTTCACAGCAAAAGAAACAACAGAGTAAAAAGACAACCTACAGAATGGGAGAAAATATTTGCAAACTATACATCTGACAAGGGATTAATATCCAGAATATACAAGGAACTCAAACAACTTAACAGTAAATATACAAATAATCCAATTAAAAAATGGGTAAAGAGCTGAATAGACTGTTCTCAAAAGACAGTCAAATGACCAACAGTTATATGAAAATATGCTCAATATCTCTAAGCATCAGGGAAACGCAAATGAAAACTACACTGAGATATCATCTCACTGCAGTTAGACAAGCTATTATCAAAGACAGAGAATAACAAAGTGCTGGCAAGGATGTGGACAAAGGGGACCCCTTTTATACTGCTGGTGGAACTGTAAATTAATATAGCCATTATGGAAAACAGTATGGAAGTTTCTCAAACAACTACAGATAGAACTACCATATGAACCAGCAATTCCACTACTGAGTATATACCGAAAGGAATGGAAATCATCATGTCGAAGGGATACCTGTACTCCCATGTTTATTGAAGCTTTGTTTACAATAGCCAAGATATGGAACCAACCTACAAGTCCATCAATAGACGACTGGATAAAGAAAATATGGTATATATACACAATAGAATACTACTCAGACATAAAAAAAGAATGAAAGTCTGCTACTTGCAACAGCATGGATGAGCTTTGCAAGTTTATGTTAAGCAAAACAAGCCAGGCACAGAAATATCCTATGTCCTCACTCATAAGTGGGAGCTAAAAAATAAACAAACAAAGAAGAGAGAGAGAAAAACAACAATCACAGTAATACATTGAACTTTCAGAAGGAAAGAACAGAACTGTGGTTACTAGAGGTAGGGGGGGGAGGTGGAGGGAATTTAGTGAGAAATTGGTTAATAGACACAAGGAATGATTATGTTTTGTAATGATGAACATGCTAATTATCCTGATATGATCATCACACATTGTATGCAGGTAATGATATTCAACTCTGTACCCCACAAATATGTGTAATCAATTATGCTTTAATTAAAAAATTAATGATTTTTTAAAAAAATATTTATGCCTAAAGAGGTTACTTAACAGAATGTCAATTATTGCTTAAAACACTACAACATATGGAAAAATGACTCCTGGGATATAATTCAATTGTAAGTCCACAATCTACCATATCTGACAATAGCTTTATAGCTTGACATTTTTAATTTTTCCATAAGTTTTTTATCCTTTGGAAGATCTTAAATCTACATAATATTGCAGTGGATAAGTACTCAGGATCTATGTCATCTTTAGCTAAATGTTGCAGGAAAAATGGGGAGGAGAGTCTATGAAACAAGAATGGCAGAACGTTAATTAATTGTTCAAACAGGGTGATGGATACATGAAGATTTATTACACTACTACTCTCTCACGCCTTTCTATGTCTGAAGTACTCCATAGCAAAAAGTTCTTAAAGTTATATAGGTATTAGGCATCTTACTATTCCTATCAATTATTTATATAATGCAGTATACATATAATTTAATTATAATTATTAATTAAAATCCTACATTTCAAACAAGGGGGTTTTAGGGAGCTGTATTTTCTCCACAGATTCAGGTGTTTTCTCAGCTTCAGTAGTTCTTAAAAATATAGGAGTTTCAGGAGTTTGTGGAAAATTCTCAGGTCTTTCTTCTACTTCATCACCATTATTTTCTATTGGCTTCCCAAAATGTTCTGTGTATACAGCCTGCAAATTTGAAGTAACAGAAAATTATAAAAATAAATGTTACTGCATTAATAAAAGGACATATATAAAAATGTGCTATTGGCTTCCCAAAATGTTCTGTGTATACAGCCTGCAAATTTGAAGTAACAGAAAATTATCAAAATAAATGTTACTGCATTAATAAAAGGACATATATAAAAATGTTTGATGTGGAAAACACCATATTAATCTATGTTATCATTTCACAGACAAAACTAGTAAAATAAGAATAATTGGTGAAAGTTATACTAAAGTATGTACAGTGTATCCAAAAATAAAATAATAATTATTTTTAATTTTCTAATTTTTCTTTTTTTCCCAGCTCAATCTCTCTCACCCCTACCTGAAAAAGTAAATGGCAACCAGAACATACTGAAATTAATGAAGAAAAATGGTTAGGAATGGCATTTCTTTTAAAATTTCCACATCATGCTCTGGGTATATGATACTTCCTTGAAAGGAAAAAGTAATTTACTTCTAAGCTATCTTGCTCTAGTTTGCTTATTATATTTTAGCAAATTTTTTTTGCCTTTACAAATTCATTATGCTACTTTCCCTACAAAGATTGAGAACCTGAATACTAATTTTCCTTTATATCATTTTGTAGGCTAGAAATGTGATTTCTCAAATATTCTTATTATACCAATCTCATTACAGAAGGAATTTGCATCCTTTCACCAAAAAAATTTTAAATGTGTTTATCACCTGTATTTCTTTACAGCAGAACACTACTATGTTGTTTCCATTGTTTTAACCCTTAGTAGCTAGGGTAAACTTGATTGTCTACATCTATCATCACTGAAGCTTTCTACTATTAAAAAATACTTTCAAGGGCCGGCCCGGTGGCGCACTGGATAAGTGCGCCGCTTGGGAAGCGCGGCGGCGCTCCCGCCCGAGGGTTCGGATCCCACATACAGACCGGTTCCCGCTCACTGGCTGAGCGAGGCGCGGGGGCAACACCGAGGGTTGCGGTCCCGTTGCCGGTCCCCGGTCCGGTGCGGGGGCAACACTGAGGGTTGCGATCCGTTGCCGGACACGGAAAAAGACAAAAGACAAAAAAAAAAAAAAATACTTTCAAGATATTTTTATGGCATCCATTGGTCTTGAATTGCCATGGTTAAATCATTCAGTCTTACCAAAGAAAAGTGTTTTCTTCAATCACAATTTAGTTGTGGCCTCAATAGATATTGTCACTTTTTAATGACAACTTTTTGTATATTTCCATGTAAACTTTTGTGGCTTCATTTTTTAAATCTGAAAAATAAAATCTGTAACCCCCCTAGAAACCTGATTACCAAAATAATATCTCTCATAAATGATCTTCATTTTACTAAATCTGAAATTGAAATGAACACAGAATATTTTAAATTGGAATGTTTTGCTTAGAAATTAGAAACCAAACATTTGACTTACTTGTGAAGTACATTTCGATTCTCTCAGTTGTGTTACTGTCCCTTTATCTCCACACTCAGCATCTGTTTGTTATATAAGAACAAACTATTTTTCTCTTTTTGCAAAGTTATTGTAAAATAAAACATTAGTTTAACCATATGAAACTGCCAATATTTAAGTGTTTTTAACCTACAAAAATAGCAATTTCATGTGATTCCACCCAATACATACATATAATAGACTAAAACATAATATGAACAGTTTAACAAACAAAATCACAGAAAGAACACCCATGTAATCACTACTCAGGTAAAGAAATAGAACATCATGAGCATTCCAAAAAAATCCCGGACTTCTGGTCAAGATGGCAGAACAGACGGTCCCCAGCATCACTCTCTCCCACAAATCAACCAATTTACAACTGTAAAAAAGCAATGACAGCCAAGCTGGGGCTGCTAGAGCTCAGGGGAAGAGAAGGACAGACCTACAGACTGAATGAAAGTGAGAGAAGCCATGATGAGAGAAAGAAAAAACCACTCTGACAGTTTTGAGCCCCGGCTGCTTCCAGGCTGGAGCTGCTGAGCGCTCCGAGCAGGAGCTGGCAAAAGCTGCAGCTGTGCCCTTCCAATGAAGTTGCTTGGAGGTGGCAGGGGAGAAGAGGGCCTTGGTGGCCCCCAGGCCAGCAAGACCACTAATAGGGTTCCCATGGACCACACAGGAGGGAGGAGCCACAACAACTGAAACAAAGGAGCCACTCAGAGGCCAGTGAGTCATTGCAAGGGACCAGAGCATCGCCTCTCCCATGGGAAGTGTTTGGAGCACAGGTGGTGGGGAGATGGGCCTACCAGAAGAATACTGAGGCACAGCAAGGACAGCTGTTCTGCACCCCAATCAGCATAGGACCACTCAGAGGAGACTTGTCAGGAATATAGAATCGCATGGGGTGCAGTTTGATGAAAAGGCTCAGGCCCAGACCAGAGTGTCTACACAACCCAGGTGCACCAGATTTCCCTATAAAGTCAACCATTAAAACCTGAGCTGCACAAAAAGCCTCCCCTAGGGATCCAGCAGCAAAGAAGCAATTTAGCTAAACCACCTAGCTCAAGTACTGTGTTGCCGGACACGAAAAAAGAGACAAAAAGGAAAAAAAATAAAAATAAAAAATAAAAAAATAATAAAATAAAAAGTTCATGGAAAAATTTGTATTATCTTTCACTTCTATTTTTCCACAAACTTTTGGACTGGCCATCCTGAGCTTCTTCAGGAAATCATTCAATCTCACCAAACAAAATTATTAGCTCCTATTATAATTTAGGTATGATATCAATTATCATTTTTTGACAGTTCCTACCAATAGTTATGAAAGTTCCTATTGTCCTACGTTCTCATCAATACTTAGTATTGTCAGACTTCTTGAATTTTGCTAATCTGGTGGATACATAATGATATCTCACTGTGATTTTATTTTGCAGTTCTGTGATTTGCTGAGCATCTTCTCGTATGTTTATCTACCACAAAAGTTTCTGTTTTTTGAACTGCCTATTCCCATATTTTACACATATTTCTAATTGGGTTGTCTGCCTTTTTTTTCTAGAGAAACTACTCTTTTGACAGTTCTATGTACTACAAATATATCGTCTGGCTTGGTGACTTGCCTTCCACTCCTCTTATGGTATCTTTTGATGCACGGTAATTCTAAATTTTAATATATCCAAATTTATCACTCTCTCTTTTATGACTGAGCTTTTAAACTCTTTTTTAAGAAATCCCTATCTTGAAGTCATTAAGATGCTTTTCTATTCGATCTTCTGAAAGCTTTATAGTTTTTGCCTCTTGCATTTAAGTCTTAACTATAATTTTTTACCATATATTAATTTCTTCAAAAATGAGTTTGGAGATCATAGAAAAGAGTCCTTTTTTTCTTCCAAAATAATTCTTTGCTTTCTTGGGTATGAAGCCTCACCATATGAGCTCAACAGAGGTAGAACTATGCCAGGTATATGCATTTCCCCATAACTCTGTATCAGGGGTGCATTGTTATTCCTCCTCGTCTAACACACTGTCAGCTTGGCATATATATAGAATTATAAACAGGTGTAATAAATCACCTGTATAGGTAAGATATAATTTTTCTTCCAGAAGAAAGCAGGGAGAATATGCATCTGTGTGGAATAAGCATATTGTATTGGGTGAATCCTATACTAAGAGTGACAGAAACAGACTCAAAGTATATTATATGGCCCTTCTAAATATACATATATTTACAGAATTTTCATGCTGTCAGAACGAGGCATTTTTAAAATTTCAAATAAAAGTCAGTAATCAGACAAGAATTAAAACTTTTATATAACCTAATAAATGAAATAATTGTTATGCACTACTGGGTTACCAAAATATGTATGTATGGTACTTCTTAGGAAAAATATGAACAACAAATATCTGTATACATACACTCACATATACATATGTTTATATAAATATACATACATACATATGTGTACATATGTGTGTATATAAATGTAGATGTGTATATTTATGTGTGTGCATATATATATGTAGAGAGAGAGGTAGAGAGAGAAAGAGAATGAGTGTTTTCAAGGATGTTTCAAAGTTGCAACAGCTGGTAGACTTTGGAATAATAAAGTCATACATACAAGGGTACTTCAAAAGCTTATGGAAAAGTAGAATTAAAAGATAAAATGCATCTTTCCATGAATTTTTTGAAGTACCCTCATATATCCTGTGACCATTCTGTGATTCTAATAGTCCAAGACAGTAAAACATTAATGTAAAAGAATATAGTAACATTATTTGTAATAGAAAAACTAGGAACAAAATATTCAATGTGAAAGATTGGCTAAATAAATTATGGCACAGGCATACAATGGAACATTATATAGGTATTACAAATAAAATCCATTTAATGACATGGAAAAATAACCTCAATAGCACATCTAGTGGGAAAAAAGGGGTGCAAAGTTATAAACACAGTATGATTCAAATCTAGGGGGAAAAAAACTAAAATACATATGCATAAAAAAAGACTAAAAGAATATACATTAGTATCTATGGTGTCAGTTATGTCTAGGTGGCGGTATTCTGTTTCCTTTTATTTTTCTTTGTTTTCCAAATTTTCTACAATGAAATGCATTTGTTTTATACTTAAAGGAAAATGTATATTAAAGCTACATATGCTTGGTCAGTTGACCAGAGATGCAAACAACACAATTTATTTGAATAGTATAAAAACCTGATATAATTTGTTACCCCTACTTCTAAGGAAAAATATGAACAGCAAATACCTGTATCTCCTTTTTCAAACCACTGTTTGCAATTTGATTGTTTCTGTGGGGTCAACAATCTAAAATGCAATAAATACAATTTTTATATTATTTATTGAGTTGATATTCATAAATTATTTCAGAAATTAAAATGTTTTATTTTTAAAAGTTACCTGAATTGCATAAAATTTTGTGAACTTTTAATAGCCATAACATGTGAATATTTTGAATGCTTATTCACAGCAGAGTCATTAAATACCTAAAGGAAAGAAATTAAGCAATAGAATTGGCTATACAAAACAATAAAAAATTTTTGCTTGCCATAATCACTCAGGGGTCTCTCATTTCATTAGCATTTCATCTTCATCCTCATCACCATTACCAATATCAACAACTACAAACATTAACTGAAACCACTACATATAAAACAAGTCAAATACTTGGAAACAAAAAAAGTTTAAGACTTTCAAGGATTTTAATGTTTTTGACAAGCATAACTATTCATGGTATTATTTCTACATTTAAGGTAAACTTTTCAAAATTTTATCCTATCCATATTCATGACAAATGAAGTGAATCTTACCATTTTTTCATCTGATAACCTGACTTCTGTGTTCCTCTATCCTCTATAACCTCTCAAATTGAACATAGGAAAGCAAAACAACATATTAAAAGATTAAAGCCTGAAACTTTCCTTTCTATATACATATGAAAGAGCTGATATTTCATTTTAACTTTAAATAAATTATTCAATATTAATATCTAAAACACTGCTTTGTTAATGTTTGTTTCAAGGCTTTCATGCTCCCTGAGTCACTCATTTTGAAGAGTCTCTGTTTTTGTTATTTGACCCAAAATGAAAATATCCTTGTTTTAACAGGGAAGTTTATTTCATTTATTTTTGTTATAACAGATGTTGTTCTTATTTCCATCATCTTATTGTGCTTTTAGATTATAAAAAAAAGTATCAATTTCCCTTAAAGAACAAGTGATGTTACCGTTTTGGTGTACGTTTTAAACAATATACATATTTGTATCTGCCTCCTGGTACAATGCTTGTTATCTGCCTCCAATCTGTACAAGTGTTTCAAGTATTTGTTTACAGTAAATGCCAATAAGTGAATTGCTGGATAAGCGCATTTCTATTTCTAATAAGTACTGTGAACCAGTCCTCCAAAGTGGTTGTACCAAATTACACTCCCATTATTTTTGACCTTACTAGATATTATCAAACATTTTAATGTCTGCTCATCTGATAGGTGAAAACAAGTATCTCAATAGTTTAATATGCATTTCCCTATACTCCTGGGGTCAGGCATCTTGTTATGTTTAGTGACCCTTTGACTTTCCTTTCTGTAAACTGCCTTCTTATCTTTTGGATGTTTTTATTCTCTTTATTAATTTGTAAGAGTTACTATATATTTCTGTATTGTACATTCTGGATACCAATCCTTTGCCTAGTCTATCACTGTCTTTTAACTGTGTTAGTGTCTTTAGTCATGTACAAGTTTTTGATTTTGATGTTGTCCATTAATCAATTTGTCTTTTCCTGCACCACACACACAGATATAATTACTGTGTTTTTATAATATTTTTAAATGTCTGGGGTGATAAAAATGTTCTGGTATTAGACAGTGGTAATGGTTGCACAACCATATGAATATACCAAAAATCACTAAGTTTACACTTTCAATAGGTGAATGTTATGGTGTGTGAATTATACCTCAATGAAAGAAGTAAAAAATAAATGTTTTGATATCTAGAAGTACAGAGCCTCCTCTTTATCATTCTTTTAAAAATCTCCTATTTTTAATTATTTGAAATATTTTATTCACCTATTAATATCAGCCAGTGAGCGGGAACCGGTCTGTATGTGGGATCCGAACCCTCGGCGGGAGCGCCGCTGTGCTCCTAAGCGGCGCACTGTAGCAGTGCGCCACCAGGCCGGCCCTTGACAGGCTTTTTCTAATGCTGAACCATCACTGAATTTCTTGGGAAAACCAAGATTAGTCATAATGTACAGCCATATCTCAGTATCCGCAGGGGATTGGTTCCAGGACCCCCAAGGATACCAGAATCCATGGATGCTCAACTCCCTTATATAATAAGCCACAGTATTTGCATAGAATCTATGCACATCCTCCCATATACTTTTTTTTTTTTGGACCAGTAAGGGGATCGCAACCCTTTCTCGGGGTCCTCTGCACCACGCTCAGCCAGTGAGCACACCCGCCATCCCTATATAGGATCCAAACCCGCAGCCTCAGTGCTACCAGCACTGCACTCTCCCAAGTGAGCCATGGGGCCAGCCCCCTCCCGTATACTTTAAATCATCTCTAGATTACACATAATACCTATTACAATGTAAATGTTATATAAATATAGTATTTATTGTTTTTTGGTTTTTTAATCTACACCCTTTCCATTGACACATAATTGATTATATATATTTGTGTGGTACAGAATTGAATATTGATAGCTGTGTACAATCTGTGATGATCAAGTCAGGCTAATTAGCATATTCATATTACAAAACATAATCATTCTTTGTGTCTATTAACCAATTTCTCGCTAAGTGTTGTTTTTTATTTGTATTATTTTTTATTGTTATTTTTTTTTTTATTGGTTTTTTTTCCCTGCATATTTTCGATCCACAGTTGGTTGAATCATTTGATGCTTAACCTGTGGCTATGGAGGGCCAACTGTATTCTTTTAATGGCACACTCATAAATTTGCTTTGCCAGTTACTTAGTATTTTTACATCTATGTTCGTTCTTGAGACTGACCTATAATTTTTCTTTTCTTTCACTATCCTTGTCCTTGTTATCTTGCTATACTTCTAGATATCAAAACATTCATTTATTTTTACTTTTTTCACTGAGGTATAATTCACATGGATGATGAGCCATCTATGATTTGTTGGATAGTTTCCAACTTTTTCTATGCTTTGGAATAAAAAGATTATTTGTTGTACAAAAAAATTATTTCAACAATTTTACCTCTCAGGGGACATCTGCAATGTCTGGAGATATTTTTGATTGTCATAACTTGGGGGTGAGGTGCTACTGGCCTCTAGTGGATCACAAGATGAACCCACAACAAGGAATTATCCAGTCAAAAATATTAACAGAATAAAAGTTAAGAAATCCTGATCTAAATCCTTAAAGGTTTGGTGGAATTCACCTGAAAAACTGAGTCTGGTATCTTCTGAAGAGTGAGTGTGTGGCAAAGAGAGACAGAGGTAAGGAAAAAACAGTGAAACAGGTATTTGCTTACATTTCAGTTTTTCCTAGGTTATTAATCTATTCATGTTATTCTACCTTTCTCAGCCTAATTAGCAATTTATACTGTCCTAGAAAATTGTCCATCTCACCTAAATTTTCAAATTTATTGGTATAAAGTCATATACTCATATAGCATTTTCTCAAGACTTCGAAAAAATTTCTTCCATATATGTAGTGATATACACTCTTACCCTCTTCTTCTTAACTTTTCCTTCTTCGGGGGTGGAGGGGGATTCGTTTTTCTTTATACTTTTTGAAATTTTATTTTATTGATATTTTGAAATTATTAGTTTTGGGTTATATTGATGAGCACAACTTCTTTACTCCATTAATTTATCCTTTTCTCTTTATTAACCTCTATTTTCTTGCATTTATTATTTTGTTCTTTTTACTTTTGGTAGGGTTGGGCAGCTGGCTGGTATGTGGATCTGAACCTTTGATCTTGGTGTTATCAGCACCACACTCTACCGAATGAGCTAACCAGCCAGCCCCTTCTTTTTGCATTTTTTTCTTTTTACATTTTTTGAGTTGAAAGTTCAGCTAATTTGTTTTCAGTCTTTCTTACTGAACCAATTTGGCTACATTCTGTAGGTACTAGTTTATAGTACTCTATGAAATCATTTTTAAATTCTATTTTTATTTCTTTTATAACCTAAAAATAATTTGGAAGTGTGTGAATTTCTTTTTCGTAAGCAAACTAGTTTTTTTGGTGAAGGGCTACCGTATGGTAAGTGAAGATAGCAACTTTTCAGAATTGGTGGAAATGGCTTTTTGATTCTAGTAAATGGTCAATTTTGGTGAATGCTGCAAACAAAAATTTAATTGCACTCCGTGTATAGTGGGCACAAAGTTTGCTAACTGTGCTATACAGATCCCCTACATTCTTACTTATTTTTTGTCTACTCGATTTATTCCTGTGGCAGAACCTGCCAGTTGCCTACCTGCCAGTTGCCTATCGTATCCAAAATCTTTCTGTGTTCTGCTTTTAAAAAAAAGAGAGAGAAAGAAAGAAAAAGAAAAGAAACAAACAAACACCTATAATTTCTCAACCTCTCCTGTAGATAGAGGTAGCCGTGTGACCAAGTTCTAGCCAACGAAACAATATCATAAATTGTTTAAGGAACTCCCAGGAAAGATCCTTAAAAATGGGGCAGACTTAGCTAAGCCCTTATCCCCTCTTTCTTTCCTCACTGGAAGGTAGATATGACAGCAAATTTACAATTAGCTTCGGACCATGAGGTGACCTGGTGGTAAAAGCTTATCATGAAGGGTAGCAGGAAAAGAAAGCAAAGATAAAGCCTGAGAAATAATGACATCGTCAAGATAGTGCTTTCAGCCCTGAATCTGAATCACCTACTTTAGAATTTCACGGCAGGTAAGAGAAAAATAAATGTTTATCTTGTTTAAGATGCTATTATTTTGTTGGTTTGGTTTTGTATTGCTTCACGTGTAGCTAAACTCAACTCCTAAACTCACAATCAGTACTTTTTTTGAGAGAGCTATACTAAACACTCTTGTTTTTTTTTTTCCTTTTTATCTTTTTTACTGACCGGTAACGGGATCGCAACCCTCGGTGTCACGTCCGCACCGGGGAATGGCAACGGGATCGCGACCCTTTTTTTTTTTCCTTTTTATCTTTTTTACTGACCGGTAACGGGATCGCAACCCTCAGTGTCACGTCCGCACCGGGGAACGGCAACGGGATCGCGACCCTTGGTGTTGCGCCCGCACTGCGCTCAACCAGTGAGCGGGAACTGGTCTCCACATGGGATCCGAACCCTCGGCGGGAGCGCCGCCACACTCCCAGGCAGGGCACTCTCCAGTGCGCCACCAGGCCGGCCCTAAACACTCTTGTTTTAACTGTGGATTCAGCCATTCCTTTGGAAGTCTATCAATTTTTGCTTTATATATTTTGAAACTATAATTTGGTATATAATGGTTTTTATTACTTCTTGGTGAATTGCTCTTTTTAAAAATATGAAATACATTTACCCATTAATGCTATTCATCTTGGACTCTATTTTATGTAACATTGCTATATCTGCTTTATTTTTGTTTCCATTTGTCTGATATATATTTTCCATCCTTTTATTATCAGCAGTCATTTGTCAAGTTGCTTCAGCTGTTCTGTTTTAATAGTATATAGCTGTATTTTGTTTATATATCCCACAGACGTACTTTGTCTTTTATTGGGATTTTAATCCAGTCACATTTTTATGATTACTGATTTGTTCAGAACTATTTTGGGCATCTTATTTACTTTCTATTTACAATGCTTTCTAGCTGTTTAATTTATCCCTCCATTCCTGTCTTTTACTGGACTAATTAAATTGTCTTTATCTTTTCTCTTCTACTATTTTAAAACTTGCACATTCTCTCTCTCTTCTGGTAGTTATCCTTAAATGTTTAACATATATGCATTGAATTATTACATTTTTCCAACAATGCATAGATTTAATCAGTATTCTTATCTCCTCCTTACCTCCATAACTAAAAAAACAAACAAAAAACACTTCAGTAAACTTTTGTTTTCCTCATTTATCTTTCCACCTGCAACCCATATTGGTATCATCTGGAATTTTAGTACCAGATTTAAAAATTTTTATAATTAATACATATTTAGACTTAACAAGTTTCACTAATTACTTTGTGTATATCTGTGTGTATTAACTATGAATTAATGGAAGAACAATTATATTTTTTCATTAAGGATTTCCCTCTGGACTATTTTCAGCAAGAATGAGGAAAGATAAATATGTGCAAGCAGTTAGCTTTCTGGGAGATATGCTCCTTGTTATTCATGGGCATTAAGAATTACCCAAGGTAACCACCTATCTCTTATCCAAGCTCCCATATTCACTGACTCCACCTAGAGACAGTCATCATATTGCTGATGCATGGCCAAAGTCAGAGAGGAAATAGGATGAACAGGGGTTAACGAAACTAACTCCCAATAAGGTAATCCAACAAATTACCCTATTCACTGTCCCTGAACCTCTAACTTGTGGAACATTATTCTCCTATGCATGTCCCAAGCTATAATTTCCCTCTTCATTCCAATCCTGTTTTCCTCCCTCTGGGATTTCTCACAGTTTTTGATCTATTAGGTACAGGGCTTGGTATTTTTAAATATCTTTTCCATTATTTTTAGGGGTAAAGGAGCAGGTTACAGTATATGTTCAGAATGCCATATTGAAATTCCTCTAAATTTTTTTAAACCCTGAGGTTTCACCAATGGCTGATTTAATGTATTTATAACATACACAATACAAACACAAATACACACACACATAACTGTGTCCTAAGTGCAGTACATTCATTATCTTCTTTAATGCAAGCAAGCATTTAATTTATACTACTAAAAAGGAAATACCTACCTGTGTATCATCTTTTTGTCTGAAGTCTATATTGGCAAGCTTTGACTGCTTCACAGAACTTTCTTCTTTTTTATCTAAATTATTAAACAGCACTACTTAAAATCCATTCTGGATACAGAATCAAATATCATCCCCAACATTTAACCTAACCTTGTAATTTAGAAAATTAAGTCTACATGAAATATAGATTTATGAAATTATTTTAAAACTCTTAATTCCTCATTACACAATAATTACTACAAAACTATGAATGCAAAATGACAGAATGACCATCTGACAAAACTACACCTTTATAATGAGTAATCAAAGAAGACAAAGTGGTGATATAAATGATGGGCAGAGGGAGGGGGATACCAGCCAATGTAGTTATTCTAATACAATATAGTTAATCTGATCTGCAGATTCACAGAATAAAACAGGATTCAAATATAAAGGTACTTCAAAAAAATTCATGAAAAGATTTGTATTATCTTTTATCTATTTTTCCACGAACTTTTTGAAGTACCCCCATATCTCAGTGAACAAGTTACAAATACTGTTAACACAAGTCTGCTACCCACTTAAATCTCACATACTGATAATACAACTTCTGAAATGAAAAAAATATAATTATTTATACTCCTCTGATAGTTGTGCAACTAGACCAGAACACTTTTTTTTTTAATATATCACATTAATGATTTATTTTACAAAGAGAAAAAACTTAGGTATAGGAGACATCTTGTTTGCTCGTAGAAAGAGAGCCTATAGGTCTCCAGTATTGTTTGTTTTTGCTTACACCAAATGATAACTAAAATTGCTTCTTCCTATTTTTTCTTCTGTATGTTTGCATAGAAAATGAGGTTTCTGAAAAATAAACAGATACTGTACCTGTAACTCTTGGTTCTGAAGACTGCATCTTTAATTTCTGAGATTCGTAAGAAAGAAATAATTGGCTGCTTTGAGGGGTTTTACTGAACACAAGCACATGTTCGTCTTTTTCAAAAATTCTAGAGAAGAGTGAATTACATTATATATTAGCTAAGTAAAAAAGTTAACATTTTAAAGCTAGAAGGGATATTTAGATATTACACAGTTAAAACCCTCATTCTGCAGATGGTAAAAGTGAATTCCTGAGAATTTTACAGACCTGCCCAATATTATTAAATTACTTGGTGTCAGAGCTAAAACACACTTTTCCTGATTAAGTCCTATGTTCTTCTCAGTATAACACACTCTTATTTTTAAAACATAATCATTTTAAAAGACTTTTAAAACATATCAAAATCATTTTAAACCAAACCTTTAACCACAAATAGCAAGCTTTAGATTTCAGAGTACTTTAAACTTTAGAAAGATTTATTCAGAAACAAATAAACTAGCTTGAATACAAAAATCATTAAAGCAGTATTACAATAATAATGAGTCTTTTAAGTTTTTTACTGGCAGAATAATTTCATTGAATTTCTCCTAAATAAAAGAAAAAGAATAAACACTATAAAATATATATTAGTAAACAACTAACTAAATATTTACATAAGTTCCTCTCAATACAAAGAATGTTTGTGATATTAAGCAGTTGTCATAAAGTGAAATTCTGCACATTTACTTATTTTTTCTATCAATTTTATTATAAAATTAAAGACATACTGTCATGGATGTGATACATGGGAGTGAGAGAATCAAGAAAATAACAGATCCAAGGACATGAGATCAGAGAAATTAACTTGGGAGAAGTGTGTGCTAAAAAATCAGGATAAGGGCAATTAAAAAGGGGTAGGCAGAAAGAAAAAAGAGAAAGTTGACCAGAAACAGCAATAGTAATACATTTATCTTTCTGTCACACAATAACAGGCAAAATCAATGTTTTTTTTTTAATGCCTCTACTTCCGATGTCTATTTTATCACCTAGGACAAAAGACAAGGAAACATACAATCCCACAAATTTAGAAGCATTCTTTGGCTCATCTTCACTCTCTGTGGCAAAGGAAGAACTGGTCAAACCAGTGACAGAGTGATAAAAAGGTAAATACACTGCTGTCCCCACCACTGTTTCTCCTGTTTCATTACTATTGCTGCCCCATAACAATGGAAAACTATATAAATTATACAACTGACTGCTACCCTATTTCTCTCTAAATTATCCTTGGCCTTACTAAATAATAAGCAGATTTGAGTATTCCTAATATTTAAATACTTAATGTTTTTCATAAAAAATTAATATCAAATAGCATGCATGAAAAAATTATATAGATACTGTGTAAACATTAGTGGCTTGGGATAGAATATAGAATCAAACTTTTAGACACAGAATATCTATCTGTTCATATAATATCCAATTTTAAAGTTTACCTATACCTTTCTTTTTCGTTCAATTCCCTTCTCTTTTCTGTATTTATGTTCTTTTCTTCCAGAGTTTCTGAAAGATTCTTAGTTTCATAAAGTCTTGCAATCTGCTAAGAAGAAAAATGGGAAAGCAAAACAAAATAATTACCCACAAAGCAGTAATGAACATACATTTTATCTTAACTAACGTATATATTTTTTTCTATGTAATCACAGGATTGATATTTTGGTAGTGTTTACTACTTTTATCAAAATTAGCTAAAACAGTATCAAAATTAACAATAAAGCATACCCCCTTAACTTTTTCTTACAGCTCCATTAGGAAATGTAGATTTCACTGAACTCCTGTCTTTTTAAAAAAGGACAGTCATAAGCAAAGTAGACATTGATTCCCTACGTAGGGATGTAGTTAGCATATATTTTAAAGGAAATGGCATCATTTCTTCTCATTACTAAATTATATTACTGTCATTTGGTACCTCATACCTATGAATGATAAACATACAATCTTTAACAGAATTTTCAAGAAATTTAGAATTTTTTTTCTCAAAATTTGGAAGTGACTTTGATGGGTTTTCATACCCATGTAAATGAAAGCCACAATTCAATGGATGACACTAAAAATGTGTTCAAAAAAATCTTAATGGCTAAACGAGTTCTAGCTTAGTTCTTTAAAGATTAAAAATTATAGTCACAAATTTTTCATGATCAAATTCTTTAAACTATTTACTGTCTTGTTCCCTTTTTTGAAAACACTGTTGTAGCTCTTTTAATGCCTCTAAATTTTTGTTACTAAGCTACATCTTGTTCTTTCCTCATCTTCTTTCCTCAGACCCCAAAGAAAGCTAAACTATTCTCTAAAACTCAGAGTTTAACACATCCAGTATCTAAAACACATTTTGGCTCCAAAGGTAATCTAAGCTAATAAAGTGTCTTAAACCTTTCTCCACATTTAGGCTCTTAAAAATAGCTCTTCTAAGACTGTCAATTGGCATACCATTATATTTACACATTAATACATACATCAGAAACTTATTATAAAATATATACCTGGTTTAAATAATTAATCTCTACTTCCACTTCATCTACTTCTTTTTTCAATTCAGATGAACTTTTGGTAAAATTGTTGATATGTTTAAGAATATCTTGTGTTTTACATCTCAAATTAACCCTTTTTATGTTAAGGAACTGTGTCATGAAGGTAAATTTAACATTTATAATATATATTCTGTATCAGGAATAATTGACATTATGTAACATTATTTATATGTATATTCTATATAAGCAATGAGCAACATTAATAACAATATCTGAAAAGATACAAGACTAATATAAACATTTGGCAGACTAACAAAGATAGTATATTGTTTAACTATGCTATATACTGACCTTAAAAATAACATTTCATACAAAACATTTGTTAGAATTTTTTTCTTTCAGTTAAATATTTTCACAGGGTGGTTCTTGTTTTTTCATCCAAGTCCATGTGTCATTTGGCATGACTAATAAAACATTATCAATTCAGGTCCAAATTTAATGCTTTATATTTCCATTATTTATTTTTTCCAGAGCCAACATTAAAAATCCACCCAATTTCCTTTTCTTGCTCTATATGGTATACCCTGCAGAGCTCAGAAGAGAGACAGATCTTCTATCTGGCCTTTTTGCTTGAACTGGATTTATCCCCAACTTCAAGTAGAGAATTTCTCAGCTATTAATAGACATCTTGCATGGTTTATTAGCTAATATACTTTCCTAATTTACTCTACAATCCATTTAGGAGAATTTAAAAATGAATAGAATAGTGACAGTGAACAAGAATTCCAGAGAAAGGAGAAAGGTCTGTATTAGACCTTTTACATCTTGCCTTAAAAATAAATGATTTATATGCTAGAAAACAAAATTTCAGGTGAATATGATTTATAAGGCTATGTTGTTTTAAAAATATCAATTTAAAATGAGAGATATAGATCTCTAAACCTTAATCTTCAGTTCTTCCTACTTCCATTCACCTCTTCTTGTTTGTTATGCAACCTTACATCTTATCTCATCCCACATCCAATTCCCTAAACCTTTGCTGGACCTTTGGCACCTATCAACCTCTGCTCCCTCCCACTGAGAAGTTAAAGCACAGATGGGCAGCAAAGGAATGACTAAAAGCAGAACAGGCTAAAACCAAAACATGGAGAGAGCAAGCAGCAGAGGAGTTATAAGGATGGTTTAGGAGGAAGCAGACAGGTAGCAAGGTAGAATGCTGAGATAAAGAAAACGTAGTACAAACAGAAGAATTATAATCTGATAGGAAAGTATATGAAGAATTGCGGATGTTGAAAGAGAAACTCTCAAGTTCATCATCAGGGAAGATATCTCTGACAAACAGGTGAGACTTAGACCAAACAAGAATTGCTTAGGAATTTATTACAGTGGTACTAATTAGAATTACTCGTTTACATGTCTATCTCCCCTACTAAACTGTGAGTTCCTTGCGAGAGAGCTCTGTATCTTCCTCAGTGTCAATAATTGTGACTCACATCCTTACCACCTTCCATCCTAACAAGTAATAATCAAATTGATTTAATCAGAACTTTCTTTGGTAAGACAGAGCAAGATGACTTTTTCATTGATTTAGTTGCTAAGATATGGTAATTTAAAGTCATATGTATCAGGTGTCTTCAAAAAGTTCATGGAAAGATTCATATTATCTTTTAATTCCATTTTTCCATGAACCTTTTGAAGTACCCTCATATATCATTTTATTCTCAATAAAATTGCTTGCTTCTGATCTCATGGACATATATGAAAGGTAGTCCCAAATGACCTTTCAAGCAACCTCTAAATCTATGAATTAAACAGAAAAATAAATCAATGTGACTCTCATTAAATTGCTTGCTTCTGATCTCATGGACATATATGAAAGGTAGTCCCAAATGACCTTTCAAGCGACCTCTAAATCTATGAATTAAACAGAAAAATAAATCAATGTGACTCTCATTAGGGAAACACAATAACAATTAAAATACAGAAATAATACTTATCTAATAAAAAGTATTAGAAATATTATTGTGGATACATGTGTAATGTCCATTTAGTAAGTGATGGAAAGGGAGCAGGCACTGAAAAACAAGATCATAGTTTAGATTGATTAACAGTTTTCTTTTCATTACAAAGATACCATAATTAAAATAATATATAACAAAAATGTTAATACCTAGAAATTTCATAAAAATATTTTCTTTCATTTTTAGTTGTTCAGTACATTCCAACACTCTGTTTTGAATTTCTTCATGTTCTCTTTTCTTCTCATAGTACTCATGTGAAAAGGGTGTTTCTGAGTATTTTAGTTGGTATTGCTTCAAAACATCTTTATACTGATATATATAACCATCATACATTTTTCTGTTAAAATTTTAAAAAAGTCTATATAACAAGAGTAGATCTAAAAACTTTATAAATATCACTTAAAGTCTACTAAATTAAGCATAAAAGGCAAGTCAAATATCTACTTATCCCTGCTTCCCTGAATATTGTCTGCTCTGAAAACTTTCCTTAACTCCATCATACTTCTCAAGTATACTCTTTTTCTTTACTACCTGAGTTACTCATTCCTTAATCTTCTTCAATTTAACTTCCACTCTTACCATTTTAATGATACTATTCTTCCCAAGATCACCAATAACCTAATTTGTCCATCAGAAAAATCTCTTTTTAGTGCTCATTCTGACTCTGTAGAACCTGGTTCTTCTGATCATTTACTCCTTCTTGAACCTATATCTTCCCTGGATTCTGAGCCTCTACTCTCCCCAGTATAACCACACCTTTTTAATCTCCTTTAATTTTCTTTAGCTAAAATTATAAAATGAAGTCATGTTCTATGTGTTAGAACCCTGGGTTCACAATCATTCACGTATACACTACAACTCTCTATGAAGAAAATTTTAGCACAGTTTGGAAGAACTCCTCCAGTCCAACTCAAGCAGTGGTGGGATGGTCATATAATTTAGGTACAAGTCTTGAATGGTATAGTTAATTCTGGCAAAAGGATATTAACCCTTCCTTCTTCTCTAGCCTGTGCTTGATCTACAACAGGAGTCAATTTATGGGGCCTATGGACTAAATCTATTCTATCACCTGTTTTTGAATGGTTCGTGAGCCAAGAATGGTTTTGCTTTCTAAATGATTGAAAAAAATCAAAAGAAAAATATTCCATGGCACATCAAAATCGTATGAAACTCAAACTTCAGTGACCATAAATAAAGTTTTTTATTGGATCATAGCTCATTCATTTCCATATTGTCTAAAGCTTCCTTGTGCCACAACAGCAGAATTGAGTAGCTACAACATATACTGTATGGCCCACAAAGCTTAAAACATTTATTATCTGGTCCTTTACAAAATAGATTTGTCAACCCTGATCTATACTGAAAATGTTTAACCCAGTTCTTACAGAAAATATATTCTAAATCCTCTTTATACCCACTTCTATCAAATACTTAGTTTCAGGAAATAATATTCAAAGTAAATTATTTGAAAATATACAATCTTTACATTCACCAAGATTTCATTTCTCACCATACTACATGGGGGAATTTCTTAAAAGATATTGTAATGATTATCTTACCTTATCAAATGAGAAAAGAGCAAGCATTCATAAACTACTATTATAATGAAAAGAAAGTAAGGATAACAGCTTTGTACTGGTCAGCAGGTCTAAATCTTAAGAATGTTTTAATTTTTTAATATTACTAAACTCTGTCCTCTTTAGCAAAATAAAGCTGTTGAGACTAAAACAAACTCTTATTCATCTAAATGTATATCTTCTAATTAAGACCACATTTCTTATGTAATAACTTGGGAAAATGGTCCAGGGAGCAAAGAAATACCTATAAGGAAACTAAGCTGGTGTCATATGTTCATATTGTATATTCATGCCCACTCTTCTATTCATGCCCATATAGAAACTCTGGCAGAGCCCAGAATAGCTAAGTCGTGGTTCAAGAAGAGCTGTTATTATCTCTGTGTCGCATTTATCACCCATAACATCAACAAATTCTTTTCCTCTTACAAATGCCTGGTACTTAGTCATCAGTTCCATTAACCTATGTGGCTGGTTTAGGAAAGAAATAGGTATTTTCACTTTAACACCTCCGGTTAGCTAAGAGAAGTCATCTACAACAAACATTATCAGGGATGTATATATGAGGGAACTTCAAAAAGTTCGTGGAAAAACAGAATTGAGAGATTATATGAATCTTTCCATGAATTTTTTGAAGTATCCTTATATTTGGATTGGTTGGCTTTAGACTCTCACAGAATCATTTTTAAGAATTAATGTTTCATAGCCATTGACTTACACTGAGAAATGTTATAAGAGGCAGGTATATATATAGGGTTTGGGGATGGGGGTGGTAGTCATCAAAGATACTGACTACCATACTGTAAAATTTCCCCTTCCTGACGACCCAGGGGACAAATTTCTCTCAAGCCTCAAGAAAAACCTCTACCTATCTTAAGCAATTGAACTGCTTTTTAAATGAATACTCTGAATCCCAAACTGATCACACTGCCACAATGCCTTGACTATTAGGAATTTCAAAGCCTAATTTCTGCCTACATCTAACAAACATGCAAGACAACGCAGTATGAATTTCTAAGTTGATCAAAGACTTCATCTTCCAGTATTATCCTTACTTCACTGTAGCCTTGATTTTTGTATCTAGTTGTTTTTTTTTTTTTTAACACTGTTATTATTTATACAAATTATCAAATCCTTTCTGGAATTTGGAAGCAGGGTCTATAAATGAAAATGTAACAGTCTCCTTCACTAATTCCACCCTCTGCCTACTCTTTGGTTGATGGTGCACTCTAGCTTTCTCTTCTTTTTGCTCCATACATCTCCCTGGGCAATCTCATCTATTTCCATTATTTCAAATGCCATGAAGTCCAAATCTATTACTTTAGTCCCTGCCTTCTCTTAAGATCATCTTTGAATATAAAGGGTATTGCATTCTAGATACAGGAACTAAAAAGTTGAGCTCATAAAAATAGAGAATAGAATTGTGGTTATTGGAGGCTGACTAGATTAGGGTGGAAAGGGGAATAGGGAGAGGCTGGTTAATGGATACAAACTTACAACTAGATAGGAAGAATAAGTTCTAGCATTCTACAGTAATGTTAGGTGACTAAAATTAATAATTATATTGCTTATTAATAAATATACAATAACATTGTATATTTTCAAATAGCTAGAAGAGAGGATTTCAATTATTCCCAAAACAAAGAAATGATAAATGTTTGAGGTAATGGATAATGCTAATTACCCTGATTTGATCATTACACATTGTGTACATACATCAAAATATCACTCTGTACCCCATAAATATGTACAATTATTACTGGTCAATTAAAAAATAAAAATGTTTTTAAAAACTCCCTCAGAGTTCAAAATTTCTACACTTTTCTTTTTTTATTAATTTTTTTTAGGTGGCTGGGCAGTATGGGGACCTGAACTAATGACCTTGGTGTTATAAGGCTGTGCTCTAACCAACTGAGCTAACCAGCTAGCCTCAAAGTTTCCACATTTTTCAATTAACATTCTTACATAGCATGTCCTGGTAATATAATCTTATAGAATTGATAAACTTAAATTAATATATATATACTGTACTTGTCTTTTTCAATAGTTTCTTGATAAACAGTAAATTGTTCCTGCATATAATCTTCATGTTTATGAAAAACATCACATGTTGGCTTCCAGCTATGGGAAAAATTATATTTGTAATTAGCATCTCAGAATGATAAAGAACTTGACAGAGATAATAAGTAATGAATGTAATCATTTAAAGAGAAATTAATCTTTCTTTTCCTGGAGAAAACAAGCTTACATCAGGAAAAATATTCCCATCTCTCATGACCACCACTACCACCACTCATGTGCTCATATGCTTGAATATCAACATTCACTAATTTTTACATAAAACCTGTTTTTGAACCATAACTAGGGAAGGAGCAAATGTGGCCTTGATGGATTACTATGGCACTTCTGTAATACAGTCTGTAACACTCCAACATCAACTTTTCTTTATCATCATATTTCTATGATCTTGGCCAAGAAAGTCGTTTTAAGTGAGCATTCAAAGAACTAAGATAAGGGCTAGAGAGAGACTTTTTTCTCCTTTGATACTTAGAAAATTAGGTTGTTACACCTCTTGAGCTAGAAAGAAACTAGGTCAAAATGAATTATAAAATCAGATACTAAGAATAAAATGAATATTCATCTTATACAGTTTTTGTTTTATTATTACATAACTTGAAAAAATTTTACCAATATAAAAAATCAAAAATGAATATACACCAAGGCAGCTTTCATTCTAAGTATTGTTCAAATTATTTCTTCTTTGTTCTATCTATTTTTTATTTTTTCAGATTCAAAAGTATACATGCCTACTTTGGAAGCACAGAAAAGTATATATCACAAATTTATTCCTCATTTCCTATGTGGTTTCTGACTTAAGTGACATACTTAGAAAGGCCTTCCTCTCTTAAAGATTACAGTTACTTATATTTTTCTAGTACTTTCATGAATTCATATTTCACACTTAAATCTCTTAATGAGCATGTTGAAACCATAAACTAGAGGTATTCATGAATTTGAACATATTAACATCAACAGATGCTATTAACTTTCCTTAGACTCCTACAAAAATTAAGCTTGTATAAAGTACAGTCTATCTAGGACACGGCAGTTTCTAAGGTGAGACTGTCAGTACTTTTCCAGCACCCACTGCAGCTAATTGAGGGAAACCACTGGCAAAACCTACTACAATAAAACCTAAATCAAAATAAAAGTTCAACAGTATATAATTTCTTCCTGATCAGATTGCCAAAACATTTAAACATTGATAATTCCAGCGATAGCAAGGGATAGGAACTGCAGGCAGGGAAAAAAGTTTATACCATACATTTGCATATTGTTTGAATTTTTATATTAGGTTATGTTACTTTTATAATTTCTTACAACCATTGGGGGAAAAAATGTAATGTGGGAAAAAACAAAAAGGCTTATTAAAATTTTGAATAACAGAGTATTTCAAAGCAAACATGATTCTAAAGTATAGAACTTAATACAAAGACAATGGTCCACATAAAATTAAGTACAGAAAACCAATACATTTTTAAAAAAATATTTGTAATACATAATAAAATTCTATTCACATCTTCGTTTCAAATGTTTGATTTACACCAAATTTAACTACTAGAATCCAGAATACATAAAATTAAGTACAGAAAACCAATACATTTTTAAAAAAATATTTGTAATACATAATAAAGTTCTATTCACATCTTCGTTTCAAATGTTTGATTTACACCAAATTTAACTACTAGAATCCAGAAGCCATGTTGAAAGACTTCTTAACATATTGAATACTTCTACTTTGAAAAATTTTAGGCTGAACTTCCTTACACAAAAATAAGATCTTGAAAATCCAAAGATGAAAATTATTTCAAATTTATCTAATAGGAATTTTATATACTGAGCTTAGATTATTCAAAATTCTGTATTTAGACTAACTGGATCTGAATTAGTGAGATCCTATAACCCTTACTTCTATTTTTCTTTTGAATCTCCTGTGATTCCTTTCTACAGGGGTATGTAACAAAGCAATGTAAGACTTGATTCATTATTTTGCTAATATAGAATACTATTTTAAAGCAACAGCATCTTCAACTATAAACTCAGAAAACTTGAATTAAAAAAAATCTAATGACAATCACTGAAAGTTCATTTCTTTCAAATACTCACTTATTACAGTTGTCTTTTATCTCCTTACTATGTTTACAGTAATGACCAATTTCCTCATCTGTTGTATTTATAATCTCATGTATCTTACAAATAGTTGCTTTGTTTTGTTTAATATCTTCAAAGCATTCTGGAAAGAGAAAATGTTCATTTTCTTAAGTTAGAAATCATAAATTCAAAGTAAACAAATACCGTAGAAAAAAAGAGATACGGCAACTTACCTAAAAAGAGAATGGAGAAGTGAAACGAGAAGGGAAGGTCCCTATACTAAAAGACACAGAACCAGAGCCAGGCCTGCTCCTAGTCACAGAAGCTAAGAAGGATTTATGTTTGGGATTAAAGAAAAATAAATGTCCCCTGTCCCTCATCTTTAACATAAGAATGCTAGATTAGGTGACATCTAAGGTCAACCACATCTTATGATGCTATGAATTCATGTAAACATTTACTAATTTATGATACTAATATGAGACTTCTGTTTTTGACAAATGTGAAATTTCTATTCTACAGTTCCACATCAGTTAATTATTATATGAACCTTCAACTCACTTATCTCTGTTACAATTAAATGCAAGATAAAAATTAAATGATTTTGTTTCTTGAAAGGATTGAAATAAATTCTTAACACTCTGTATTCTTTGATTACAGAAAAGATAACCAAATTCTGCCTTTTCAGAACTATTAAGAAATCAATAGTTCTATTTTTTGATAGTTTTTATGTTGAATCTTAAAAGACCATACATTTATGTAATTTGCCTTACCATTTCACTCATAATATTATTTTTCAGAATTATTATTCCTGAAAATGTAGTATTCATAAGTCTCGGCCCTTGATTTTTAGTGACTTCTACAGAGATAAACTTTCACTCAAATATTTGAAATAACCAATGTTACTTGAGAATACCTTAAGGGGTTATTTTTGCATAAAGCAAAATTCTTCATAAAATAATTAAACGCTGAATACAGAAATTTATTATCAAAAAACTGTAGTTAAGTCACAACTATTTTGCCTAGAGTAAACAGCTCATTATTGGTCCTACAGAAAACTAGCAGGATAGTTACAATGCCAATTATAAGTTGCCCTAAACAGGACAATTGTATATTATCTTATATGCCATAAAAATTAAAAGAATATCTTTATAATGCAAAATTACTTACTATTAATTCTTTGAATCACATCTTCTTTAGTACTTATGTCTTGTTCATACTGAAAAACTAAAATAAATAATTCTTTTGTGACTTCAATTCATTGTTAAAATGTCAAATGACATTTTATTTCTATTTCTTTACTTTCATTTTATACCTACCAAATTCTAGCAAAAGTTTGTCCAAACTGACAAATAGGTTGTCATTCATCTTGGATTCTATGATAAAAGAAAAAAAAAAATGTATAAGAAAAGATTTTCTGGCGTTGTATGCAAAATAGCGTATATTCGGTAAGACCCTTCCAATACAGGATTCTTCACAGAAAAATGTGGGTGGAGCAAGTACTGGAGAGGGGCGAGGCCCTTTCAGCCCACAGCTACAATCCAGGCCTAGTAGTAGGCAGAGCTCTAACAGGACCTAATAAATACCTGTGGAATGTCATTGCATGGCTGAAATTTCTAGGGAAGGGGGTGGGGTCCGTCTTCATAATTGCTTACACGTGGTATCGCAGTAAGTCTTTGAATCCTCTGGGGTCCACAGACACCCAGTTTCTCAAAAGGTTATGCCCTTTAAGATAAATCTCTGAATATGTATGTCGCTTCTTGGTGTGTGTAGCAAAATAAAGTCCTTCACCAACAAAAAGGTAAAACCTAGAGAATCAGTGCGATTTCACATTTACGAATTTACCAGCAAGAATACAAAAAGTGGAGGTTTTCACACGCCTGCCGGCTCGCGTTACACAGTTCGCTTAAGGCGGGGCTCGTACGTCTAGCTCCTGCACATCCCGGGAGCTACTCGGCCCTCGCGTTCCGCGGTAGGAACTTCGCCCGCCGACCGCGGCTCTCACAGCCTGCTCCGCTTCCCCCAGCCCAGGCCGCCCCTCCGCACGCGGCTCGCCTCAGCCCGCGGCACTCCAACCACGCGGCCGCGCCCACACCTTCGAGCGCGTCGCGGCGCCCAAGACTCGGGATGAGGCGACGCGCCGGGACGCCCCCAGAATGCGAACCCCGGCCGTTCTCCAGGGCTGGGCCCGCGAGAACGCCACCCACCCACCGCCACCGCCCTCACACACATTCCCTCAGAGCGGCCTGCGACACGCAGCTCCCTTTCCCACCCACCTAACCGACCCCTCTGGACCTGAATGTCCACACCCACCCGTCCTGGGGTCCCAAACTTCACTCAGAGCCCCGAAGGCCTGGGACACGACGGCAAATCCCGACGCCAAGCTCGACCGCCAGCGCCCAGCCCCCGCCCCCTGGCGTCAGCCCCGAGAGACCCCGCGGAGCACGCAGCGGGAGGCAGATCGCGCTGTAGAGCGAGATCACGCTCTGGGCGGCGAGACCAGCACTGCGGCCCGCGCGCCTTCCCGCCGGGCGAGCGTGGACCACGCCGCGTGAAACCACGGAAGTGGGTGCTGGGTCAGAGGAGGCCCGTCAAGGAATAGGCGATCTGTCAGAGGCTCTCCCGTTGCCTTGAAGACAAGTGTTTTTTAAAGATTATTCTTTCCTCTTGTAACATACCGTTCCAATAAAACTGGTATTAATTTGACAGTAAAAAAACTCAAATCAATAACCAAAATTCAATTTTGAATTCAGCATTTTTCAAAACTTTTTGAAAAGCAAGCCTAATTCAAATACATTTTGATTAGACAAATGATGAGACTGACTCATTTGTTCAGTTTCAAATAAAACACATTTGCTGTCCAAAATGCTGTCTTAGAATTTGTCTGCATATCCAAAGTGAAATAAAGAGCACAGAAAAAAACTATTTAGATACCCCAAATTGCCTCAATCCTTCCTATATTTCTGGCAGAAATGTTTTTAATCCTAAATGATCTCAATAATTGCCTCAAGTTACCACGACCTAAGTTGTTTCACAGATTATTAAAACGAAAAAGAATCTTTTGGAAGTTTTTCTTGCTTAAGTACCTCAGATCAGATGTACATAATCAATTTTATTATAATGTGCTGTAATGTTGCTTACTAGTTGGTATTAATAATAGTGAGAAATCAAAGCTAATGTAAGTTTTCATTTTTAATGTAAGAATTTAGCAGACTTATTCTTTTATGTGTGTGCCTGTGTGTGAAAATCTATCTTCTACATTTACTTTTCCAGTTTTATTAAGATATAATTGACAAATAAAAACCGTGTGATTTACAGAGTACAACATATTTGATATACGTATACATTGTAAAATGATTACCGCAGGCAAGTTAGTTCGTGTAACATACCCATCATCTCACACATCCATGTGTGTGTGGTGAGAACATTTAAGACATACTCTCTTAGCAAATTTCAAGTACGCAATACAGTAGTCACAAAGCTGTACTTGGTATCTTATGATTCCCTTCATCTCTCATAAATAATTATTCACAAAGTCTTGTTGATTTTTTTCTCTGATATGTCCTTTGTAAGCATCCAGTTAACTCTATACAGTTCTTGGTGGTAAGACAGATACGAATTTAACTTCTGGTTCTGTCCTTTGTTAAGTCAAAACTCTGAACAAGTTTCTAACCTAAGCTTCAGTTTCCTCAAATGCAAAGTGAGAAATGTAATAATTCCAACATCATAGAATGGTTGTGAAGATTAAATAATTTCTATGAAGCCTCTAATTTAATATGCAAATATATTGTCCAGCACATAGTATACAGAAAACATAGAAGCCATTGGATTGAAACTTTTTCAAATTTCAGACAGCAAACATATGATCCTATTTACATCTTCATCATTTTATCCTCCTTCTCACCTGTTACAATAGTGGAACTCTCTTTCCTCTTACCTAAAGCCAGTTCTTCCACCTGTACTTTCAGTGCCATCTCTTCCTCCTCAGGAATGTTAAAGTATCAAATATCTCTTTTCTCTCACGTGTATTTAATTCATCCATTCAATTGGATCCTCCCATCAGCTTTAAACATGGTCAAGACTCTACCCGTTAAAAACAAAAAGAAAGAAAAGAAAAAAGAATCTTCCCTAGACACTTCAGGTCCTATCAGTCAACATCATATTTCTCTCACCCCCCACATTTCTCTCACAGCCAACCTGCTTTCTAAACAGATGTCTAAACTCATATTGTGTCCCTCATAACTCATTTCTCAACTTACTACTATCTGCCTTCCAACCCCATTATGGCATAAAATTTGTTCTTGTTAAAGATGACAATGACCTCAGGTCACTAAATACAATTAACATGTTTCAGTCCTTACCTGACCTGACCCCTCCACATCATTCAATAGTATTTATCATTCCTGCTTCTTAAAACACAGAATTTACCTGTTCTTTCTCCTATCTCTAGTAATTTCTCTATCTCCTCTTTCAGACTCATCTTCTTCTATTCAGTCATTGAATGTTAAAAAATTTCTCAGGCTCAGTCGTAGACCTTTTCTCATTCTGTACTCGGTGTGATGGTTTCCAATACAACCACTACACAGGCGACTCACAAATGTATACCTCTAGCTCAGACCCCTAATATCAATCCAAGTCAGTAGTTGCAAAATTGGTTCTGGCCAATTAAAAAAATTGTTTTTTGTTAAAAGGATACTGTGCATCACAAAAATCTCCAGAATAGCTAGAATAGCTATAGAACTCAGAGGCTACACAGCACAGAGCAATGCCCTAACTCACGCTACATATTTGGTGGTCAAGATACCACCACCATAACCAAGCATTAAGTGCCGCAGGCTCACACCACTACCAAAAACGCCCTGTAAACTCTATCTTAACTTTAATGGCTACTAAATTCAGAGAGGATTCTTCCTAGGGCATACTTCTTTTTGTCATTCATTCCCAACTCAAAACCTTGCATGGATTCATTTGATTAAAGAACCCTGGAGCTCATGCTCAATCTCTTCTTCCTTCCAGACTATTAAGGTAGGAAATTCTCCAAACATAAGAAGTGGATTTAAATGCTGGACAGTTAAAAAGAAAAAAAAAAAAAAGCAACTTTCTATGATACCTGTCCTCTAAGTCCCAGACCCATATATCTAATTATAGACATGGCAAGTTGTCTTAGTCCATTCTTGGTGCTATAGCAAAATACTACAGACTGGGTCATTTATAAATAATATAAATTTATTTCTCACAGCTCTAGAGGCTGGGAAGTACAAGATCAAGGCACCAGCAGATTCAGTATCTGGTAAGGGCTCTCTCTCGGCTGTCAAGATGGCACTTTGTTGCTGTGTCTTCCAGAGAGAAGGAATGCTGTATCCTCACATAGTGGAAGGGACAAAAGGAATGCAAGGGATAAACTCACTTCCTCAAGCCCTTTTATAAGGACACTAATCCCATAAGGGCCTAACTACCTCCTAAATGCCCACCTCTTAATATTATTGCATTGGGAATTAAGTTTCAACATGAATTTTGTAGAAACACCAACATTCAAACCATAGCACAGGCCAAAACACAACTCTTGTTTTTCCCCCACTAATGCTGGGCCTCTCTTATTATTCTCTCTTTTTATGAATGGGAATTTTTCAGTACCAATTTGTATACACTAGAAACCTAGGTTTCATCCTTGACAACCTTCTCCTATCATTCCCACATATCTGACCCAGCATAAGTCCCACCAATTTTACCTTTTAAATATCATTCAAATCCATCCATTTCTCTCCATTTCAATTGCCACTATTTCAGTCCAAGTTACCCTCAGTCTCTCACCTGGATTATTGTAATAGCTTCCAAATTCGTATCTACTCTGGCCCTCTAGTTCATTCTCTATCCATCCTGAAACAGAAATTGTTAAGTGCAAATTTAATATTCTCTCTCTCTCTCTCTCTCTCTCTCTCTCACACACACACACACACACACACTTTAAAACACATCAAGGGCTTCCTATTGTTCTAGGAATAAAGGACAAAATTCTTACCATGGCCTACAGGGACTTTACAGTATTGTAAGGCTATCTCTGCATCTTCATATTATGCTAACTTTTTTTTCTGCAATCCAGCCTTGTGAACCATCTTTCAGTTCTTAACATGCTCCTTTCCATCACAGGGACATGGTACTTTCTGGCTCCTCAGCCTGGAATGTTCTATCCTTCTTCATTTAACAATCTCCTACTCATTCTTTAACTCTCAAGTCAAGTATCACAGCCTCAGAAATGTCCATTATAAACTCATAGTTCATGCACTTACCTTTCCCAGCCATTAATACAGTTATAATTCTCCATCACTTGTGTAATTATTGTATACAACATCTATCTCATCCACTATACT